TTGTCTTGTCCTGGAGGCAGGATTCTTTTCTTTTTAAGGTACTTGAGTATTTGTTCTCAAGGCACTCAACTCAGCGGATTAGGCTCACCAATGCTACAGAGAGTAACTAGGTTTTCTCAAGGATAAGGCTTACCAGTGCTATGGAGGACAACTAGGTTTTCTCAATGTCTGTTAATTTAAATGGTAATCACAGCTACAGAATACCTTCACAACAACATCTGGACTGGTGTTTGGCCAAATCGAACTCCATAGCTTAGCTCTGTAACAATATATAAAGGTAGCTATACTAAAAGCTAGGCATGGTGGAGCATGGCCTGTAATCTCAGTCTCCAGGGGCTGGGGAAGGACAATTGCATGAATTTGGGGATAGCCTGGGCCATGCAGTAAGTACTATGCTAGCCTGACTTACATAGCAAAGCCTTGACTCACAGCCCTACTCCTCTTCCCACCCAAAGCTACCAGCAGATATCCCTATGGTTGTTTTTCATCTGTAGCTCCTGTGGCCTCACCTTGCTTGTATTCCAGCCTCTGGTGCATTCTCTCTACTGCCAGAAAGGCCCTGGAAGGAAAGAGGGTGATGGGGAAGTTTGATTGCTTCTAAGTAGCATAACATTACCATTGTAATCATATGCTACTTTAGTGTTTCCACATTAGAACGACGACCAAATCTAAAGCACCTTGCAGTCAGATCTTGCCTTCCAGCACTCTCTCATTATTGCCAGACTTAGGTCCCCACAAAGGTATTCTAGTTCTTCATATGCCTAATGATTTCCCTCCTCCTGTGACTTTGATTCATGGAATTGAACCAACATTCATCTAAGGAAGAACTGCTGAAACGATGGGAGTAAAGGAGGGGCTGTGGAGAACAGGCATACTCTGAATACTTCAAGTGTTTGAGAGGTAAACAAACCATGCTGGGATTGCAAGACAGGAAAGGGGAGTGTCCTGGGAAAATCCCATGAGAAACCTGCCTGACAGAGGCGGAAGGTGCGCAGGGACTGAAGAATGAGGCAGATGGAGTATTATAAAGCACCATGGAGAACTTGCAGATGGAAGAGAAGCCAAAGGCGGGCAGGCAGACAATGGATCCCCACAATCTGGGGGATGTGGAGGGGCTTAGAGAGTGGTCATGAAAACTGGCTTCGCTCAAGTTGCCGTTACTTGGTTTGTCTCAAGTAGCAGTAAAGTTGCCAGGCACTCTCCTGGTGGTGGCAGTGCCAGGGTCTTGGTTGTAGAACTCCACACGCCAATAAGCTGGAAATAGTATAGTGCTTCAGGAAAACACATGGTGGCTACTCTGTACAGGCATGGCCGTTGCAACTCAGAACGGTTGCAGCTAGGTCAATCTTGCTTACCTCAGGTGAGACAGATGAAGGAGGTTATTAACCGAATCGTGTCCCCTACAAATTCCAGGGCATGTGAATATGAGTGTATTTGGAAATCAATTCCTCATAAAGGTAATTAGGAAAGGACTTTGATGCTCTGGTCCTCATCCAATATAACTGTGTACTTGTAAGAAGCAATGATTAGGGCGTAGACACACATGCAGGGGAGACCATGTGATGACACAGAGAAGGCCACCTGCAAGCCAGGGACAGAACCCTCACATGGAGGCGGCTCTGCCGGCACCTCATTCCTGTACTTGCAGCCTCTTGAAGTAGGAGAAAATGAATTCTGTTGCTGCTGCTTCCAGTGTGCAGAGGCTGTGGCAGTGTCCCTCACAGGAGGAGAATGGAAGAGCAAAGCAACCGAAAAGCTGAGAAGCAGACTATGCATCTGGTCCCTGCTGTGGGCGCAGTCAGCAGGCTGGCCAGCTTCCAGGGTGTGTTGAAAACTGACCTGGTACTTGAGTTGGCCATCTAATCTCTTTTCACGTGGAGATGGGTGGTCTCCCTCTTGTCTTCAGGGGAAGATAAATTCTCAGGACTATGATGGTTCTTTGGTGTCAGAGTTGGGACTGCTTGTTGACTTTGAGATGAAGTCTTCTTGGTCCTGACCAGGTCTCAGGTGATAGGTAGAGACCCAGGCAGACCAAGGAGAGGTGGTAGAGACTGTCTTGCTACTTTTATTTTGAATTATTGTGTTAGACATGTGAGGACCACAAACTGCTGCTGTCTGGTTTATCTTAGGATGGCTGGAATGCTAGTGTTTCCTTTATTTTTTTTTTAAGTGAGGGAAAAAAATCACCATTTTTACAACAGTTAGAGCTTTGCAGAAAAATTGTGATGATAATACAAAAAGTTACTATATGCCCCATAGCAATTTTCTCCTATCAACATTTGTTAGAATCAGTGGGCTAGCACTGCTACGTTATTAAGTCTCTATTTCTTTCAGATTTCCTTAATTCTTATGGAATTCCCTTTTGTCTCAAAATCCCATTTATGAGACCTTCTTACTGTTGGTGCTCTGGTGTTCCTCGCCTCCTCTTGTCTATGCCATCTTCTTACCTTTCTTCTTGATAGTTCTGAGATGTCCTGGCCAGATGGTTTTGCCTGGCATTTTGATTACATTGTAGTGAAGAGTTACTGGAAGGAGCACAAAGGCCCATACCATCTGCATTGCATATCAAGACACCTACTGTCAGTGTGACAAGTGGTACACTGATCGTGATCATGTGGTTTAATTAGGCTCCATTATTAGAAGGTCCCCCTTCTGCCCCCTTGTACAGTACTCTTTGAAACAGTCGCCATGCACTGTGCACACAGAGAGAGTAGGGACCCTTAAGGCTTTACAGCATTTAAAAGAATGTGCAGGTGCTGAGTTGGGAAGAGTAGCCAACCAAACTGGAATTCACAGCCCCAAACAAACAGAAAGCAAAAAGCCATGCTTTTAAAAAGGGTATTGATGTTTTATTTCTGGAAAAAGTGCCCCATTATATTGTTATGAGAAGCAAATGTTCTTTAGACTCCATGTAATGATGAATAAAAATACCCTCTGCCAGAGGGAGGGCTCAGACCTTTGTTGATTTAGCAGGAAGTGCCAGGCCTTGTCTGTATCACTGGGCTTTTGAAAACCATTGGTGCAGCACAGAAGAAAGATTACAACTGTTTAGCACATTACTATTAATTGAGAAGTGATAGAAGGCGGTGTTCCGAAGGTGGTGCCTCAATAGTTACCACTGGACAGGTATGTCCTGGTGAGGTTTCACAGCCTGGCCTCAGGTAGCTGATTCCATTACTAATTTTGTTACCTCCCTCTAGTGGCCAATTCTATTTTTAATGTTTTCATTTTTTTCTTTTATTGAAAATATTTTTCTTCCTCATACAATGTATCCTGATTGTAGTTTCCCCTTCCTCTACTCCTCCCAGTTCCTCTCCACCTCCCCTCCCTTATAGACCCCCTTTCTGTCTCTAATTAGAAAAGAACAGGCTTCTAAGAGGACCCCAAAACATGACAAAACAAAATATAATAAGATGAAACAAAATCTATCATACTGAAGTTGGACATGGCAACCCAATGGGAGGAAAAGAGCCCCAAGAGCAGACACAAAAATCTGAGAACTACTCGTTTTCACAACTAAAAGCCTGTGAACAAATTCAACAGTTGAAAACAAAATTTTAGGCTATCGTTATGGTAGTCTTTGGGGAACTTTTAAAGTGTTTAACTGCATAATGATCAAGTTTTAGATATGCTTTTATATATTTTTTATTTTTTTCATGTTTTTAAAATTTAAATTAGAAACAAGCTTGTTTTACATGTCTATACCAGTTCCCTCTCCCTTCCCTCCTCCCCTGGCCCCCACCAACCTCCTATTCCATCCCCTTTATGCTCCTCAGGGAGGGTGAAGCCTTCCATAGGGGATCTTCAAAGTCTGTCATATCATTTGGAGCAGTGTCTAGGCCACCCCCGCCCTGTGTTTCCAGGTTGAGAGAGTGTCCCTCTATGTGGAGTGGGCTCCCGAAGTCCATTTGTGTACTAGGTATAAATACTGATCCACTACCAGAGGTCCCATAGATTGCCCAGGCCTCCTAACTGACACCCAAGATCAGGGGATCTGGATTGGTCCTATGCTGGTTTCCCAGTTATCAGTCTGGAGTCCATTTAAACCTATAATGGCTCCCTCTCTTATGGTATCTCTTTTCTTGCTCTCCTCTATTCTTGCCCTGACTCAATCTTCCTGCTCTCTCATGTCCTCCTCTCCCCTCCTCTTCTCTCCTTCTCTTTCTCCTAATTCCCTCTCCCTTACCCCATGCTCCCAATTAGTTCAGGAGATCATGTCTTTCCCCTTCTCCTAGGGACCTTGCATGTCTATTTTAGAGTCCTCCTGGTTTTCTTGCTTCTCTGGTGGTGTGGAAGGTGTGAGGGGTGGGGGTGGGGTGCATGTGGAGGTCATGTGGGGCATCTTATTTGCCAGCTTACAATGTATGTGGGTGCTGTAGGAGCAAGTGTCTATTCTAGAGGCCTGAAAGCCACACAGCTCTGCGAGGTGAGCGGGGCAGGCATTGTTTGCCATTGCTTCACAGGTAAGGTTTTATCTGTAGTAAAAAAAATGATGTTTCTCTAAAAACACCCCCCCAACAGTATGCTGTTTCTGGATATTCTCAGAGAACTGAAGTAATTTACCAGATTTTGAGAATGGCTTTTGAAGGGTTCTTACTGGAAATACTGGGTAATTATGCAGGTCATAATCCAGTCTCCCTTCTCTGTTGGTACTAGGGTTCACATTTAGCGCTTTAAGCATACCACTCCACCACTGGGCCTGCACACCCTGCCTCCATCCTTCAGATGAGTAATAGTGTGTCTCAACCTGTAGTTTTATTCCCTTGTAATCCACAGCACCTGGATTTAGAGAAAGACAGCTCATCCCATGTGAAATCTTTGAGTTGCCTTGAGTTGAACAGAAATAGGGAGGACTCTACAGAGAACTTCGCTTGGGGCGGTAGTCTGCTTGTGCCTGGTCGCGATCCCTTTTTATACCTGACTCCACGGAGTTTCTGGGTATCGGCTCTCTGCTTTCCTGAGTAGTGTGTTAAGAGATGCTGTCTGTGTTTTGCCCTCAGCTCCATCTGATCCACTGGAATTCCACACTGTTTGGCAGCATCGATGAGGCAGTTGGGAAGCCCCACGGCATTGCCATCATTGCATTGTTTGTTCAGGTAAATGGCAGTGCATTGTTTAGAGATGTTTTCTCTAAGTCATTTTGTCAAGTATTTTTTAAATTCACACTTTATTACTTGGAGGTCAATTAAACATGCATAAATACTGTTATTTTAATAGTTCACGAGATTCGAGCTGTATTTTTTATATTAAAAAGTTCACTTGTTTATTAGACTTTTTCTTCAGAATTTTATCTGGGGCCTTTGGAGAAACAACTTAGTAAATGTCTCTTGAAGTCAGAGTTCATTTTATTTAGGAAAAATATTCAGAAAATATTTTACACTCAAACTTATCTAAGAAAATCGATAATATGATCATGTAGTGAATCACTTTGCCTTTTTGTTACTAGTAATTTTCACTCAGAGATAATTTGAAATTGTTTATAGAAAACAATGATAAAATAAGACTGGCAAAGACCATGACAGACTTAATGCAGTCTACGATGGGCATTGAGCTCTGTGATGCCAGAGAATGTTGCATGGTTTAGCACTCACATAAAATGGAACCATGTGCTGTGAAGTAGAAGTTTAAAGATATCCTAAGGTGAGTTTTAAACATCCTCAGCTACATGGTGTGATAAAGATTTTTAGAGGTGAAAATGTTCTTGGGAATTTTATGTAGATGGAGTTTCTTGTCGCACCTGGTCCTGTAGCCATTCAGTCCCAAATAAGCACACGGAGGCTTATGTTAATTAGAAACTGTTTGGTCAATGATTCAGGGTTTTTATTGCCTAGCTCTCTCTTAATTATTAACCCATTTCTATTAATCTAAGTATTCCTACATGGTCTTGGCATACTGGAGAATGCCCAGACCTACTCCTTCAGTGGCTACATGGCATCTCCCTGGTGGCTCCCCTCTGCCTCCTCTCCCCAGAATTCTCCTCATCTCATAGCCCACCTATACTTCCTGTCTGGTTACTGGCCAGTCAGTGTTTTATTCATCAACCAGTAAGAGAAACATATATTAACAGCATACAGAAGGACATTCCCCCATCAATTTTGACAGTCCTTGGGTCTCAAAAGTGCATCTGAGGCCCATTGATAGAAATAAAATGAATCCTTGCCTTTTTAAATTGAATTTTCTTCCTGTATTTATTTCATGTCTACATAGGCATAGATCTATACTCCTTTAGCTTTGCAAAGGAGTGTATAGACAGAAAGGAATCACAAATTATTGGCAGAATGATTTTGATTTTTACTGTATTGAAGAATTAACTTGCAGAAGACCTTTTTCTATAACTTGGAAAAGTGAGTGGAGCATCAGACTGCCAGAGTTGAGCAGTAGAAGGCATTATGTCATCATTTAGGAGCACAAATAAGGATAATAAGCATAATAACACTAACAAGTCATCATATGTGGGGAGATGGGGACAGGTGAGCTTCATTTTCAGACTTGGTACACGATAGGTTTGTGAATTGAATTAGGTATGATCATTTACTGTTTCCATTGTCTGATCTTCCAACGGGGCCTGGGTTGCAAACCTAGTCTCCTGGGACTAGCCCCCATGTTTCCAGGAACAAACTTGTGGTGATGGAAAGCCCCAGGACATGCACTCTCTATGAGGAAAGACTCAGGTGGCTGTGTAAAATGTTTTTTTTTCAGGAAAGACTTACATAACTTGTGAGAGTGAGCTCTCACTAAGAAAGGAATGGCTGAAGAGTGTCAGGGGAAGCAGGGAAGAAAGTGACTGAGTGTCCATGTACCAGGCTGGTGCCCTGGCCACAGTAATAGAACACAAGAGGAAAAAGTGGGGCACTGAGCTCTGACTTGATTCTAACAGCTTGACTTGGACAAGGATGGGCCAATGGAGCAAATGCTAGTGGCCAGTTTGAGGTCTGAGTTCTTGTTGTTTTCTTCTGAGGAAGAAGAGCTAGCACAGACACAGTTTAATAACTACAGAAAAGAGATGGATGGCTAATGCTGGATCACATTAAAGAAGGGTAGGTGTGGAGTGGAGAACATCTGTCTCAGAGACTTGGACATCAAGCCTCATACAGAGAAGCCATTTTCTTAGGTGAAGAGAGGGCGGGGAGTTGGGGACACTCATGTTTGGTGCCCCTCATTCTTGAGGCTTGCAAAGCATATTATGGAGTAAGAGGGACCTGAATGCAGGTTTTGGCTTTGAATCAGGAAGAGAGATAATAGACAGTCTATGAGGCAAACCCACAGAAGGCTGGATAGTACGGGATTAGGTGGAACAGCACACGAGGGATTATTCTCCATTCACATAGGAGCAAAGAACATTCTAGCAAATTATTGAGATGATCAATTGAAGAGCAGGTGATTTAGGAGGATAAAAGAATAGAAGACTGGAGAGTGGTGGAAAGATGTCATTCAATCTAATGAAAAAGGGTGAATCAAGGGGCTGAGTGTGTTGGCTGCTAACACTCAGTAAAAGGAGAGAATGGAGGACAGAGGGCTGGGTGGATGTAAAAGCTTGATCAGAAAGAGTGGCCTCTTAGAGCTGAAAATTTCAAAATGACAGGAAGGAGGAATAGAAGTTAAAAAAAAAAAACACAGTCAGATGTTGGAGCTAAAACGTGGCAGCATCAGAGCTAGAAGCAGTGTGAGAGCTGACGGCTGGACCACTATGTTGTGAGACTTTATGTTGTTCTGATGTGGACTCCTCTCAGTGTTAACAGTCTGACAGGAGATTCATGAAAATTGATCCTAACCAGATAGACATGCCTCCAAGAGCTACCTCCTAGTGAAACCGTGAAACTGAGGAGAGTCCACTTCTCCTGAAGACCAGAGAAGGCTTTTGGTTGAGATGTTGGCTTTTGCAGTTAGTCATATATTTACAAAAGATGCTTTTTAAACCTTAGAAACTATTTTCTGTTTTTCCAGCCTGTCTCAGGAATTTTTTTTAATTACATTGAGCTGACTGACCATTCTTTGGTTCATTGTTTCTTTCTCTTGCACATTTCATAGTTGACATTAGGAGAAACAAAGGTGTATGTTGACACCTACTCTAGCTTCTTACAGGTCATTCTGCAGACCTATGTGTACATAGAAGAAGTCTAGCATAGCAGTGCCTGTCTAACAGATAATTCCTGCTCTTCCTCTCCCTTGTTACGGTCCACAGGAAGTAGACTGAAACTAGCAACCATGTGGCACTCAGCGTTTACAAAGACAAAAACACTAAGTGCCAGAAAATGTATTTCACGTATCAGTTTTTTAGACTATTACTTTAAATATGTATAATGCATATTTATTATATATAATTATATATGATGCATATAAAGTATATAATTATACCATATATTTTAGTGTATAGTTCCATATGATATACTATAATATAAAATATAATTATATATTATATAAGTATGCTGTACATAAAATATAAGTTATATATAAATATACAGATATTTAAAGTAGAAATATATATATTTAAAGTAGAAAACTTTGAAAAACAGTCCTATTTTACTAAGAATGAAGAAGAGGTTATTGAATAGTGATCAGTAGTAATCCAGAGATGTTTTAATTTTGATAACTTTGACATGAAATATCATATGCACATCTGAGTTAATAAAAATTTTCAACTTTGATGAAATTTATGACATCATTCTATAAATGTCAAAGTCAAGAATACAGTGCAAAATATGTAAATAAATAAAAATGAAAAAGCTCAGCATGTTGGTGCATGTCTTTAATCCTAGCATCTAGGAGGCAGAGGCAGAGTTAGGCTAATGTCTGAGGCCAGCCTGGCCTACATGCCAAGTTTCAAGCCAGGGCTAGACAGAGAGAGCCTGTTTTAAACAAACAAACAAACAAACGAACGAACGAACGAACGAACGGCAAGAGTTTAGACACACATTACATCACTTTAATTCAGAACTACTTATGACATTTTTCTGTAGCAACCTTTTATATATTATATATTATATATGACATAATGAGTAATAAATATCTGTAGCAAGATGAGTTTGGAATTATATTGTATATTATGATTGTTATTTATTGTTATATTATATAAGCTTTTAAAACTTTATTTACCTTTAGTTATTGACCTGACCATAAATAGATAGGTCATTAGTTCCCAACAAGGCCATTCAGGTGGACTGGAGCCCTGTTTCTGGTAGTTATTTTAGATAAAAGCTAAGCATTAAAAGTGTGTATTTGTGGTTTGTGTTTTATGTATTTCAGATAGGGAAGGAGCATGTTGGCTTGAAGGCTGTGACTGAGATACTCCAGGATATCCAGTACAAGGTGAATCATTTAAAAGAAGTTCTATATGCATTCCCAGAAGTTGTCTCTAGGCTTGATTCTTTTCTAGAAAGGCCTATGGGACTCCGAATAGCTTCTAGAGTCAACAGTTATGGTTTAATACAGCGTGATATTGGGAGAGGGTCTTGGGTTGAATTCTAGGGGGACTTGAAGCAGGCACCAGTAGTCCCAGCATGATGTGAACTAGGGGAATTGCCTAATTAATTTCCTCTGGCATCTTAAACCCTGCTGTTGTTTCTCTCCAAACAAGGCATCCATACATTTCTGGGATAAACACACTGGCTCACACTGCTGTAGCAGATTTCAAGGGCCAGACCTAAGGGCCAGGTTGAAAATACCAGGAATTCATCTTAAATATGGTATAGCTCAAGGCTTCAGGTATAGGCAAACATCTTACCAAAGGTGAGTGTACTCCAAAGGCTCAGAGGCCGTCTTCTAGAAGTCAACCAAGGGCTAGTTCTGAAGTTAGAATGTGGACTAGCCCACTCCTGCTGAGTCCAGCAGGTGAGGAACACACTTCCTCTGGCATCTGTTTTAGTCAAAACGTATCTGTGGGGCCGGCAGGCATCAGTTTTACATTCTATAGCAGGCATTGTAAGAGAAATTTAAATTCAAAGCAAATAGCCATGAGTCCAGAGCAGGTGTATTTATTGGATCCACTTGATCTCACGGCAATGAGAAGAGTGTCCACTCACTAATGTTGGGACCTGGCATAGATCTTTAGTTTTAATCATTTTTATTTAAATAGTTATAAATTTTCTATTCACATGTCCTGAATTACTTTTCCTTTTCCAGGGAAAATCCAAAACAATACCCTGCTTTAATCCTAACACATTATTACCAGGTAAGCATGTATCTGGTGGTCTGAAATGAACATGAACCATGTGTGTCACTGCACTGCTTTCCTTAGAGTGCTCATATACATGATGTCATACATGATTCGTTAGCAAGGTTGCCTTGCAGTTTCTGTTCTCTACAGCAGGTGCAGTTTCCGATCACTGTTGATAAGGCAGGAAACCTTTTGAATGTTAGGAAACCCTCGCCACTGCTTCCTTAATCCAGAAAGAACATTCTCAGTGACATCATTTGTAAAATGGAAAATTTCCACCTCAGTGTAAAGTCCCCGCACCTATCACATAATGTCACACTTCTAAGACTATCGGACTATTTCTAGAATGAAATAAACTTTATATATAATTTTATAAGATCATTTCCTTACAGCATCAGGATTTAAATATCCTAATTGTATTCATGCACAGGTAATAATTATACATAAAACACTCTGATTATAACTTGGAGTTCAAGGTGGTTTTTAATATAAAATCTTGGTCTCTATGTTTCTCTGCTTAAATTGTGTGCTGTTCCATAGTGTTTCAAACAACACCAAATAGATTGATCCATTGTATCCTCTTTCTATACTTAACTGCTCTATCATGAACTAACTTTCCTCACATATTGAACATATTTAACCTACTGAACATATTTAACCCTGAATTCTTCTTAGGTAGTGCTAAGGAGTTCAAATCCATGACTTGTGTTTTCTTATCACATTAGGATTTTAGTAACATACTACTGAGGAAGCAATGTAGAGATGGCTCGAACAGGATGTTTAAAAAATCACAGCCTTTGAAAGCAGACTGTTTGAGTTCAAACCCTCTGACACTTTTGTGTGATCTTGGAAATTGTATAGTTAGGAAATTACTAACATCCTGTAACTTAGCTCGCCTATATAAAATGGGGCTAATATGTCTTATTTCTTTGTTGGAAAGATTCAACAAATTGATTTATACTACTCTAAATAGTACTTGACACCATACTTCAATAGATATCAGCTGTGAATCAGGTAATATAAAAATGGGTAATAGTTTCCTAAATATATTAAGATTGATAGATGTGTCTAGTGAGCCATTGATAGATATCTCTGTAAATATAAATGGAATTAATGTTTCTCATTATTTTCTTTACAAATGGTAGTTTAAGACTTTGTATATGAGGCTCCAGCTTCTAAATGTCATCCATATGAGAAGTGACAGACTACAATTTTGGAAATCGTTGCTGGAGTTGTAAGTCTATCAGCTTGCCCTTTCATAACATGCCCATGTGTTTGCACAGACCCTCTTCTGCGGGATTACTGGGTCTACGAAGGCTCTCTCACCATCCCACCTTGCAGCGAAGGAGTTACCTGGATATTATTCCGCTACCCTTTAACCATATCACAGCTGCAGGTGAGTATGTATTTTGAATCTTTCAGAGTGAAGTCCTGAGGTCAAATGTTCTTTCTGTAAAGGGAAAATGTCTGTTTTATGCTTTAGTTCCTGTCAGATAAGTTACAGCTTTCAGATGAAAGTTGACTGTTGTGAGCCAGGGAAAGCAATGGGAAGGCCAAGGATGAAGCAAACCATGCTCATTTATGATCTCTATTTTAAAAGTTAGTTTTTATAGAGCAAATAGAAATCACTGTGAAACACCAAACTTTTGACTAGTCTATCCATTCCTTTATGTGGATTTTTCTAGAGATGGGAAAGAGACAGTTTTGGAAACAGAGACTGCATTTCCCAGGCATATAATAGTTCTCTCTTGGCAGTCAAGAGAGATGTATGAGGGTATGTAAAAGCCAGAAAGAAAGCCATGGGAAATTCTGGATTGTTCCCTGGCTTTATTCTTGCTGTCCCTGTGTTCCACATAGATTCTTTAAATGCTAACAAAAGCCATCTGTGGAGACCCACATTCACAGGGACACTAAGGTAGTAATCTCATTTGAGTCTAGGAGGTTAACACTCAATTAAGTATTGTAGAAAGACGAACCCTACAAAAGAAGAAAAAAGGTAAACGCTAATACCCAGTAAGTTTTGGCTGTGTGTTGGCTGGGAGAATGTGGGTCAGCACCTCTAGTGTGTCTTAATGGTTTGAAGGGGCTTGGGTTACAGCTCTGGAGAATGCTTGTGTAGTGTGTTCTGGCTGTATCCTAGTGTCCTGGCCCTGGCCTGACCAGTATTATCACAAAGATGTTTGAATGGTTTCTGTCTTTTAGAGATCTAAGGGTCATATTCCCAAAAGCTGTATTTTCCCTTTATCACCAACCCCCAAATGCTTAAGAAATAGAATACATAAAGTTTTATGATTATTTTTTATATCTCATCATTTCATCAAGAGACTTGAGTTCACTAACTTTTAGATTGATTCCTTACATTATTTTTATTTTAAAAATATTTTTAGTTTTTGAGATTATAATTACATAATTTCCTCTCTCAGAACCCTCCCATGTAATCCCCCCATCTTTTAAGTTTATGGCCTCTTTTTTCATTAATTGTTATGTAAGTATATGTATGTGTAAATATATGTATATTTGTAAATAAATAAACGTAACCTGCTTAGTCTGCCTAGCGGTGAGAGTGGAGTGTTGAAGTCTCCCACTATTAGTGTGTGCGATTTTATGTGCAATTTGAGCTTTAGTAATGTTTCTTTCACAAATGTAGGTGCCTTTGTATTTGGAGCATAGATGTTTAAAATTGAGACTTCATCTTGATGGACTTTTCCTTTGATGAATATGAAATGTCCTTCTTCATTTCTTTTGATTGATTTTAATTTGAAGTCTAGTTTGTTAGATATTAGGATTGCTACACCCACTTGTTTCTTGGGTCCGTTTGATTGGAAAATCTTTTCCCAACCCTTTACCCTGAGATACCGTCTGTCTTTGATGTTGAGATGTGTTTCTTATATGCAGCAGAAGGATGGGTTCTGTCTTTGTATCCATTCTACTAGTCCATGTCTTTTTATAGGCAAGTTGAGGCCGTTGACATTGAGGGATCTCAATGACCATTGATTGATGATTCTTGTTTGTGCTTGATTTATTGGTGGTGAAGTTATTTTGTGTAGTTTCTCCTCCCTTTTTCTTTTGATGTTATGTAAAGTGGGATTATATATTGCCTGTGTCGTTGTGAGTGTAGTTATCTTCCTTGGATCTAAGTTTTCCTTCTAGCACTTTCTGTAGAGCTGGAGTCAACATCCTTAGCCATCAGGGAAATGCAAATCAAAACAACTCTGAGATATCGTCTTACTCCTGTCAGAATGGCTAAAATCAAAAACACCGAAGACAATTTATGCTGGAGAGGATGTGGAGAAAGGGGAACACTCCTCCACTGCTGGTGGGAGTGCCAACTCGTACAGCCACTTTGGAAAGCAGTATGGAGATTCCTCAGGAAAATGGGAATCAATCTACCACAAAACCCAGCAATTCCACTCTTAGGCATATATCCAAAGGAGGCAAATTCATAAAACAAGGGCATCTGCTCCACTATGTTCATAGCAGCATTATTTGTAATAGCCAGAACCTGGAAGCAACCTAGATGCCCCTCAACTGAACAGTGGATAGAGAAAATGTGGTACATTTACACAGTGGAGTATTACTCAGCAGAAAAGAACAATGGAATCTTGAAATTCACAGGTAAATGGATAGCACTGGAAGAAACCATCCTGAGTGAGGTAACCCAGTCACAAAAAGACAAACATGGTATGTACTCACTCATATATGGATTTTAAACATGGATCAGGAGAGTGCCAGTCTGCACTTCCACTGACAGAGAGTCTGGGAAACAGGAAAGAACCTAAAAGATATACGTGGTACCCAAGAGAAGAGAAATGAGGCAAGATCCTCTGAACAGGTGGGGAACACGGCGAGGGGTGGGGGGGAGGGGGACCTGGGAAATAGAGAGTGGGAGAAGTGGAAGAGAGAGTAGGATGTGGAGGAACAGGAAGGTCGACTGGAGGGGTAGGATAGGGGGAAGAGGGAATCATAGGTTAGAAGATAGATCAGGCACCATTGTGACCTCTAGTGATCTAAAGGGATGACACCAATTGGCAAGCTAAGCAATAGTGTAGAGACCACCTCGAATGCCTATTCCTGATAGTGAACTTGATGTCTATAACCATTGTGGAGCCTTCATCCAGTGACTGATGGAAGCAGAGGCAAACAACCACAGTTAAATACTGAACAGAACCCAAGGACCCCAGCAACAGAGAGAGAGAGGAGCGAAGAGCAAATTGGCAAAGAATGGGCTGGCAAAACCAGCAGAGACAGCTGATCTGAACAGGGGCGAGCTCTTGGACCCCAGACCGACAGCTGGGAAGCCAGCATGGGACCGATCCAGACCCCCTGAATGTGAGAGTCAATGAGGAGGTCTGGGCTACCTATGGGGTCCTGAGCAGTGGATCAGTGTTTATCCCTCGAATACTAACAGACATCGTGTGTCCATAACACAAAGAGGGTTGCTCTCTCTGCCTGGACTCTTAGGGAAGTGCCTGGACCCTACCCTGAATGAAATGATAGACTCTAGATATCCCCTATGTGGAAGGAATTGGCAACAGGGTGGGAGGATGGGTGGGATGGTGGGGAGGGTTTGGGAGGAGGGGAGGGAGAGGGAACTGGGATTGACATGTAAAACAAGCTATTTAAAATAAAATAATGTTAAAAAACCTGCTTAGTCTGCATAATGTTACTTGTATATATATCTCCAGTGCTGACCATTTAGTGTTTTATAACCAGTTGTTGTGTCATTCCTTGGAGAAGACTATTTCTCCCACACTCAGTATTCCTTGGTTTAGCATCAATTCTTTAAAATCTTATACTTAGCATTTTCAGTCACTATCTCTGCTTGTCTAGGGAACACATTAAAGTTCCCATTCACCCTCTTTTCCATACATTTCCCTGTTTTTGAACTTTTGCTACATCCCTTTCAGCTCTTATTTTCCATAGGACAAATCATAATTCCAGTCTTCTTCTTCATCTATTTGTTCTTATAAGAAACTCTGACTGAGTGTTACCTGGGCACAGGGGACACAGAGGTTGAAACACAACCTTCACTCTCAGAAGTGTTGTGGTCACTTGAGAAGGAAAGTGACTATATAGGTAGTTACAGTTGTGGTAATGTGTCACAGAAAGTACAGGCTAGAAGGCCTGAGGAATAACTTCACAAAAGTAGAGGTTTATTTGGTGGGAATGAAGAAGTTAGAAAATTTGCTCTAAATATTAAAAATAGGGCCTTGAGCTAATGGCATCTAATTCTGACATTTAACAGTGAATTAGTAGCTTCTATAATAGGTAAACCTCCAGTTTGTGGGCCTAGAGTAAATAATTATTTTATATGAGTTTGTTTAACCACAGTGTGTCAGAGATTCATGATCTACCTGAAATTGCATAGGGAATCCCTCATCAGTCTGGCTCTCAGCATGTGAAAGCTGAGCACCATTGTGAACATTCCCAGGTGTGCCATAGAGATTATATGCTGGTTCACTGTCCAAGTATGCTCTCATATGCAGTGTGAAACCATTTCTTTGCAACTCTCTCTGGCTTCAAAGGGAATTTGATGTGTTGCCCTCTGTTAAAGCTACAGGTCAAGTCTAACCCCCATTCACCCAGTCATGCTGGGAGATAAACTGTGCCAACTCCATGTGTGTTTGGAGGAAATGTTTCCTCTTCTCATGGCTGAAGTTTAGGTCTTTTTAGCACAGGACACTGTTAACATTTCCTGAGAAGGAAGCAGTGTGTCTTAGGTTAGAATTTCTATTACTGTGGAAATATACAATTACCATGGCAACTCTTATAAATGAAAATGGTAACTCTTATAAATGAAAATTTTTAACTGGGGTGGCTCCCTGACAACTCCTGGGTTCAGTCCATTATGATCATGGTAGGACATGGCAGCATGCAGGCAGACATGGTGCTGGAGAAGTAGCTGAGAGTTTTATCTCTTGCAGACAACAGGAAGTGAACTGTTTCACTGGGAGTAGCTTGAGCACAGGAGACCTCAAAGTCTACTTCCACAGAGACACACTTCCTCGAATAAAGCAATAGCTCCTAATAGTGTCACTCCCTGTGGGGGCCATTTTCTTTCAAACCACTGCACAGATTCACATATATATAACATGTGTATTTTTCTATGAAAATGTACTTTAGGGTGGTTTACTAAAATAAGATCTTAGGAGAAGTCTTTTTACATTTCTTAGTTTATCTCTATTCTCTTATTATCTCTATTCTCTTGTTCTTTCTTTTTCTTTTAGCCTAAAACAGTGCCACTGAGCAAAGGGGGATGGCTGTGCATTTTCTTCTTAGTCTTGTCTTATCTCTATCCCTTTTCTGTCTTACATAAGGACAGATCTTGAGTTGGCAGCCTGAAAATTAGAATGTGATGTATATGTGGTTTGTAGGATCTAGGTCATGTCTGTGTTG